TTCTCCTGTTTTTTTTCTATTTTTCTTTCCTCAAGTTCTTCACTCTCTTCTCTTCTGTCATTCTCTTCTCTTCTTCTTCCCCTTCCTCCCTTCTTCCCTTCTCCTAAACGTCTGTGACTCTCCACGACCGTAATTTCAGCGATTTCGATTTCATCCTCTTCTCCACTCTCTCCTCCACCCTCCCCTGTGTTTTTGTACTGTCTCTTTCTCTCCTTCTCAGCGGTGGCCCAATTCTCCTGAGGTTCGATTATTATTATTGGTTTGTTCATGTTAACCAGAAGAAATCTATAAAAAAAAAAAAGATTATCATCATCAAAATTATAATTATAATATTATATAATTATAATATTATAATTATAAAAAAAGAAAATATAGTTATAATATTATAATTAAAAATTATATAATATATTGATTATATAATTATAATATTATAAAAGAAAAATACAACGATTAATTGTCCATTAACATTGTACTCGACTATATAGCTGATAGTCGATTAATCGTGATTTTGTATTCACGATTCCTAACACTAATCAGGACTTATGTGTATGTTCTATCCAAAGTTTCACTGTGAACTTAATTATATTGAATCTTTTTGAGCTAAAACAAAATGGTATTCATGTCTTCATTACAATTATTTATTTAATGACCTCAAAGAAGTTGTTTTATGTATATTAAATTCAATTAGTTTAACAAAAATTTGTCAGTTACATGTCGTTCTGCATGTTACATGAGTACTTATGAACTTGGACTCTCAAATAAAACAGCTATTTTTGTTATACAATGGTATCAGTTCTATTGTCAGGTTCTTGAAAATGTTTTGGAGAAATTTGGAGACATGTGATAATTATAGCTAGTCAATTATACACGAGCATATGATTTTTATTGGCCAATGATATTTTTGACACATGATTTCTGGGATGCTAAAAATTATTCAACTATTATTAAAATTGCTATCATAAAAAATATAACTACAAAAAATTTTTATAATAAAATAAATTAAAAAAATATGTAATTTTAATGATTATGTCAAAAACTACAAAACTATTTATTTTTTTAATGTTTTCTTAATTGTATAAAATTCCTTTGCATTTTAAAATTATTAAAAATTATTAGATGTGACTAAGCCATTTGTACCATATATATAAAATTATTGATCATTATAAGTAAATTTCAAAAACGGTACTAAGAGTATATTCCAAACTTATCCAAATATTTGAAAATTTTCCATGTAAATTCAAATTCAAATATTTTTAAGGCCAAACTAATCATATAATTTTAAACTAATTAAAATTGTCAAAATTGATATAGATTTGATTAAATTATTGTCAAAAATAATATCATAACAATAGGGTAATTAAAAATTGTTCACAGGTATGAGAATTTTGTCATAATACATATTATTCAATTGATAAGGTTAATATTTTATAAATTACTTATATTTAATATTTTTAATTATGTATTAATAATAATAGCTTTTAGTTATTAGTCAAGTATGAACAAATATATAACATTTTGATGATATACAAAAATTAATTCTAAATATTAAAAAAACTATGGTTTATTCTAAAGATATTACAACTAATTCTGATAATAGTTTAAATTCTCAAGATCCTCAACAATTAACTTTACAATTCATGCCATTACCTAATATAACAAGATAAAATTCTTGATTTTAAATGACAGTATATATTTTTGACTATTTGAACTATATTTGAGGAATTTATTTTGAAGAGCATGAACTAGAATTTAATGAAACAATTGAAAATATCATGTCAATTTTTAATGATAGAAATGTAAATGGGTTAATAGAAATATATTTAGCTTTTATTTGTTATCATTCATGTCAATTTATATTGAATACTGATTTTTTCAAAAGGAAAAAGGTCCTATTTCCTATTTTTCCTTTAATTGAAGTACGAATTCAGCAACTTGAAATTTATCTTACTTATGGAACAACTGCAATGGATTTTGGTAATGAAATTAATTATCCAATCATTACCTTCTTTTTTACATCAAAGAGATTTTTGAAATTATTACAAATGGTACACAAAAAGCATCAAAAATGATGATAATGTTCTTTCTAAATATAATACTGAATTATCCATTTTTATTCCAATTTTTCAATCTGTATATAATGCAGCCTATAATAAATTTTCTATTCATTTTTCTAATCATCCTTCTCAATCACTTTTTAAGACAGTTCGTTTTTTTGATCCACACTATTTGAAATTATCTTTATCAAATCGTGATATTCAAAAATATAGTTTTAATATTCCACAATTATTAAATCCATCTATAGAACTTCTGCAAGAATGGTCTTTATATTGTAATTTTGAATTAATTGAAATTGATTATTCAAATTTTCAAAATTTTTTGGGAAAAAATGGCATCTACTTTTCCTCTTTTAAGTGAGATTGCATTTGATTATATGTGGTTACCTATTTCTTCTTGTGCTGTAGAATGGAGTTTTTCAGTTTACAATAATATTCTTAGTTGATAATAGACAAAATTTAAGTACTGAATCACTTAAGATATTAAATATGATGTATTTTAATAACTTAGGTTATTAAAATTTATGGTCAAATATAATAAATATAATAATAAAAGCGGCCATTAAAAACAAAAAATTATTAGTAAAATTTTATTCAAATTTATCCAAATATTTGTGATTTTCCAAATAAATATTTGAAATAATCCAAATAATTTTTACTTTAGACGATCCCTAGATTTCAGTTTTCACATTCCCTTATTGTCACACGTCTGGGGATCAATTTTTTATTGTTTTTATCGTCGGAATTATTTTACTATTTTACTTGAATCATTCTAACCAAAAAAAATGGATTGAAATATTAAAAATGAGTAAATTTAGTTAATAATATTATAAAATTACAAATATGAGATCTTTTAACTAGTATCCTCGTGATCATTGTAAATATAAGTAATATATTGACAATATACTTTAAAAAAAAATTCCAAAATTATTCTTTATTCATTCACGGATCTATGTCTCCTTGTTTTTTTTTATTTTCATTTTTTTCGTTTCTATATTCTTATTTTTTTTTCTTTTTTTTTTTTCTTTTTTTTTTTTTTTATTTTTTTTTTTTTTATCATAATTCTTTAATTTTTCTAAAAAAAATCCAAAAATCATAAAATACTTACAACACGTACAATAACGCATACACCACATTTATAAAACATTTCAAATATCATTTCCGAGAAATGACACAACTAAATTATAAAAGAGAATTTGCTCCAAGACGTTTAGCTTTTTGGATATTTTGGTTCGGAAGCCATATAACATTATTCCTCTATGGTTACTATAAACAAAAAAATGATGTAGAACTTAATAAGTTAAATGTTATTGGACGTTCTATCTGGATTTCTCGTGGAGCTGGTCTTTGCTTAGCTTACGATGGTTCTTTGATTTTATTACCTGTTTGTAGAAATTTATTAAAAAATTTAAGAGTATTTAAATCACTGAATTATATTATTCCATTCGATGAAAATATTTGGTTTCATCGTCAAACTTCTTACGCTATGCTCATCTTTACTTTAATACACGTTTTTGCTCATTACATTAATTTCTGGAAGTTACAAGAATTAGGAATATATAATGCTTGGTCAATTCATTATAAGACCTGGGCTGGATTAACTGGTCATATAATGTTATTAATAATGGTTTTAATTTACACTTCATCTCATGCTAAAATGCGTAATCAATCTTTTGAAACTTTTTGGTATACTCATAATTTATCTTTCTTCTTTATGTTATGCCTTTATTTTCATGGATATGGTTGTTTTGTAAAAACTGCTGAAGGAAAATGTAAAGGATATAATTCTTGGAGATTCACTTTGATATCTGGATTTATTTACTTTTCGGAACGTGTTTTGCGAGTAATTAGAGCTCGACAAGAAACTCAAATTACAAAAGTTATAGATCATCCTTTAAAAATTATTGAAATTCAATTTAATAAACCATCTTTTCGTTATAAAGCTGGTCAATATTTATTCTTAAATGTACCTGCTATATCTAAATGGCAATGGCACCCTTTTACCATTACTTCAGCTCCAGATGATCCTTATGTTTCGGTACACGTTCGTCAAATTGGAGATTTTACTAATAAATTAGGTGACTTATTAGGATGTAATAAAGATAAAGGAATGCCTCCATCAATAAATTTACCTACTTTAAAAATAGATGGATCTTATGGTGCACCAGCTGTAGATGTATTTGATAATAAAATTGCGATATTAATTGGTTGTGGAATTGGTGTTACGCCTTTTGCTTCAATCTTAAGAAATATTTGGTGTGTTATTATATATATATATTTATCATTTGTTGTTTATGTTATTTTGGTTATTTTATTTATAATTATTTCAATGACTCAGGTACCAACAAAAGAATGGAAAATCATCCCAACTAAAAAGAGTCGAATTCATTTGGATTTGCCAAGATATCGGTTCATTCGAATGGTTTCAATCATTATTAAAAACATTAGAAGACACTATGCCCCAAGGATTTTTAAAATTCCATATATATCTAACATCCAGACTTCGTGAATCCATCATTCAAAATATTATGATAAACGAGTTTAGTTCTTTTGATCCTTTAACTAATCTCGGGTCAAGAACTCATTACGGTCGACCTAATTTTGATGAATTATTTGATCGACTAAAATCATCTATTAACTCTAAAGATTCAGAAATTAAAATTGGGGTTTATTATTGTGGTCCTAATTCATTGGCTAAAAAATTAAAACGTGTATGTAAAAAAGCTAATTCTGATGGAATTAGTTTTAATTTTCATAAAGAAAAATTCTAATTAATCAAATATGTGGTTTTGCGTTGATTTTTTTTTATTTTGTAAAAATAGGTTAAAATATTAAAGTATTATAATAATAGTTCTTTTTTTTTTTTTTTTTTAACTTCATTTTGTATTTAATTTAGAAATTATAATAATTTAGTCATAACAAAAAAGTGTTTTCGCGTATTTATAATTAACTATTGAATAGTTATAATTCAAAAATCACGAACAATATTTATTTTATTTCAAAAATCACAAACAATATTTATTTTATTTCAAAAATCACGAACAATATTTATTTTATTTCAAAAATCACAAACAATATTTATTTTATTTCAAAAATCACAAACAATATTTATTTTATTTCAAAAATCACGAACAATATTTTATTTCAAAAATCACAAACAATACTTTTCTAAAGCTCCCCATAGGCCGAGCCCAGCCAATCTAAAAAAACTGGAGTTTGGCTTGGCTCTCGAGCCTATATGGCTCGCAAGCCTTAATATGAGCTCGTGAGCCTTGATGGTAAACTCACAAAAAATATTATTTTTAGGCGTTTAAAATATTATTTTAATAAATATTATTATTAAATCGTTTAAATATAATTTTAATAAATTTTTCATAATTAATCGCTTAAAAAGATTATTTTTTAGAAAATAATATTTTTAATTAAAATAATATTTTTAAACGATCAATTATTAAATCGTCTAATAAGTTCTTCTTTATCTATATTGTGAGCAGTTAAGTTCATTATTAAAAAAAAGTCTACTATTTGTAATGGAGATTTGAAAGGTTCTTTATTATTTCGGGATATCATTTTTGTTAACAAGATCCTTTTGACACGTTCATTTTGTGTTTTCCAAAATAATTTATTAAATTATTTAACTATCATCACTTGATTTAATAAAAATGTAGATGTATCAAATTTTTAAAAATTTGGGTCGATCAATCTTGGAATAATTCGTTCTTACAAAAGAAAAAATGTAAATCATGTGAAATCCATAATACTTATAAATCGCCGCTTTCTTCTGACTTTATATTTCGGCAATTTAAAAAATTATCTATTTCTCAACATTATACATTTCATTATTTTATAGTATCTCCTTTATATATAAAAAAAAAAGAAAAAAATGAATGAAAAACCAATTACTACTCCTTCGGGAATTGTTGCCCTTGAGAATAATGAACGATATATTCCAGCTACCAAACGTCCCGATGGTACTTTAAGAAAAGAACGTCGTGTTCGTCCCGGATTTACTCCGCAAGAAGACATAGCTCGATATAAAAATCCAAATATTTTGGAACCAGTAGTGGTCCTTAAAGAAGAGCTAGCAAAACCAAAAACAAAGGCTCAAAAGAAAAATGAGAAACGTAAAGCAAAGAGACAAGAAAAAAATCTTTTAAATATTGAAGCAGGAGAAGAATCAAAAGAAAAAGAAATTGATATAATTCAAAATAAAATTGAGAATTTATCAATTTCCCCTTTCTTTGAAAATGATCGAATAAATAATAATAATAATAATAATAATAACAACGACAAAAACAACAACAATAATAAAGAACAACTAGAAACAATTTGTAAGAAAATTAAAGCCTTAGAAAAGAAAACCCGACAAATTGATCGAATTAAAGAAAAAGAAAATAAGGGAGAATCATTAACAAAAGAAGAAGAAAATAAATTAAATAATTTGGATCAAGTAAAGAAGGAATTGGAGAATCTGCAGAAACTTAAAGCTGAGTTGGAATAATTAAAATTCAATATTAGATATAAATGTGTATATATATTAATATATTTTTAATATTTTAAGAATATTTCATTTGTTTTCTTAGGGAAGTGTGAGCACTTTGATTAATTTTTTTGAATCGAACAATTAAACATTTTGAATTAAAAAATTTACAAAATTGCAATTTGAAACTAAATAGTATATAAATATTGTGAACTATATAACAGATATGTAAAATTTAAAATTATTAATTATTGTTAAATATTACACTAGTCTTTAGTCTTTCTTTGGCACTTAAAGATATATTTAAAGCTGGATCTAATTCTTGTAATTCAGGAACTTTCATTAATGAAAGACCAGCAACACCCATGTAAGCATGCATTACATCTAATTGAAGATGGAAGAAACAAGAAGATCATTAAAGATGAAAATAATAATAATAATAATAATAATAATAATAATGAGAATAATAATCTATAATAATAATAATAATAATAATAATAAAATATAATTTTTTAAAATTATTTACCAGCAGGATATTCTGGCCATTTTGAAAAACCACCATATTTTGTTTGAGTTTCCATTAGAAAATCAAAATTTTGTTTAAAATCAATAAATTCAAATGAATCTAAAATCTAAATTTATCAAAGTTATTAATATAATAAAAATATAATTAATATAATAAATATAATAAAAATATAATTAATATAATAAATATAATTAATACAATTAATAATAATCAAAAAACCTTTAGTGATGCTCCTATCCAAAATGAATAACAAGTATCAGGTGGTTTATTAGCTCGTCCTTGAAATCCAGTAGTCTGTCGTGAAAGAAGCCAAAATATAGTCTGATTTTTTGATAAGAGACCTTCATCAAGTCGATTAAGAAGATAAAGAGAACTAATGGCACAATAAGTTGAACCACCTATATATTTTAAATTATGTGATATTATTTATATGTTTTTATTTGAGATTACATTGTATTATATATTTTATTTGAAATTGAATTTACTTGCCATGTGATTCCTCTCCAGGTCCTTGACCAACTCCATAATCATAAGACTTTGTAATCAAAGATTATTTTATTTATTTAAATTTTTTTTTTAAAAAAAAGCTAAAATTCATTAAAGAATAATAAATTAAATAATAATAATGAATTAAAATAATAATTTAAATGAATCACACCTGGCTTTTTCTAATATAATCTACCGCCTTTTCTACATTAATTCCACTAAAGTCATTTAATATATATGAAATAACACATGCACAATATATAAATCTCATATCACATTCCATTCCCAAATAAGTTTGAGTAAAACTAAATAAAATTAATTGTTAATCGTAAATTATAAAATGAAAAATGAAAAATGTAAAATAAATTATGAATTACGAATTGTCACCTTCCATTTTCTTTTTGAAGATATTTCAATGCATTAATAATTGCGTGACGATCTACGCGCGACAAGTCATCTCCCAGAATAAGTAAACAAGCCAAAGCAGTATATGTCATTGCTAAATTTGCAGCATCGAAAGGTAATTTTGAGATGCGACTCTATAGAAATATATTATTTCTTCCTTTTTAATCCTATAAACTCTTATTTTAATCATTATTATTATTTTTATTATTTATTTAAAAGTACTCACCCCATTAGGATTAAATGGTAATCCTGAGAATGGAGAACCTCTGAACCCACAGATTTTTTCATTGATCTCTAAATTTTATTATTATTTATTTATTTTTTTTATATCCAAAAGAAGTAATAATCTTTATAATCTTTTTGTTTAGTTTATAACACCTGGATTATTTTCATCAGGTAAAATTTGTTGTGCATATATCCAATTGACCCATTTGTCTCTTCGTTCTTTAGGAATTTCAGTTTCAAGAACACCCAAAAGATCTAAGCCCGATAAGGAAAAAAATGTCAGTGTCATTCTATAATATATTTAATGATAAAAGCAAATTTTTAATATGTTAAAATTCCAAAAATTGTTTAATGAAAGAAAATATTTTTAATTGTTTTATAATAACAACAAATATTTAACAAAATACCTATGAGTATCATTACTTGTATAATTATTTGGTAATAAGTCTAAACATCTTTTAAAATATTTTATTGTTTTAGAGCGATCAAAAGTTTTTTCCATTTTTTATCGCTTAAATAATATCTTTCCGATATTTATATAAAATTTTATTGTAGTACGATAAGCGTGGCTTTAAACTCAAACGACGATCTAGACCCCAGGATAATATTCTAAACTGGGGGGTCTAGGTTAATTTCTTAATTATATAAACGCGTCTTTTTTCCTTTTTTCTTTTTTTCTTTCTTAACGATAAATTATAAGAGCGAAAATAATTTATTATTATACTTCCCTTTTCCGCTTTTTATTCTTTTTTGCTCTAAGTTTAAATAATATTATTATAATTCTTCTTTCTTTTAGTTATAACTTTGTTGACTATATTTCATTGAACTCAAATATATAACTGTAGAAAAATAAGGTATTCATTCTATCCATTTTTGTTTTGTTTTTTTTTGGTTTTCTTCCTTTATTACTCTGTTATCTAACTCTTCTCATATCTTTTGCCATATCTATCACCACACACGCGAGCAGTATTGTCACCGGACGCAGACACGGACATTAGACGGGACAAAATTGGACGTCCGCATCATTGTCCCATAGAGCTTGATGTCCGGGACATATATAAACGTCCGGGATATTATATATACAGTATGATAGCAGCAATCATACAATTATTTAACAATTATTTTAGTAATCTTTATTGTTTATTACAGTCTATTATTATTTATTATTATTACATAATTTATACTTCTCTATAGATATCTCAGATTTATGTTATGCAAGTGATTTTTTTCAATTGATACAATTATTTTTTAAAGATAGATAATACCATTGTTAAAAAATTATATGCCCGCGGGACATGGGACATTTAATTTTTCATTGGACATGTCTGTGTGACAACTATCCAATCGGACAGACTTTTGAACACGGACAACAGACATTGTTCAAGATTGTCTGTGTCCAAAGAAAATCTCAGCCACATACAATACTGGGTAAAGGCATTGTTAAAAATTTATATGTCCACAGAACAATATTTTTTTGGACGTGTCTACATTATACATGTTCCCAAAATTGATTTTGGATTTTTGAGGTATTTTGACTTTTTGAGATTTATACAGAATTTATTCTATATATGGAAGTAAAAAAAAGTATCCAGTTATGTGTATATTCAATCAAAGAATAAATCTGGGTGGTCAAAAAATTTTGGATTTTAAGTAAAATAATTTTGTCTTCTATGAAAAACTATATGCTATCTTTTTCCTAATTTATTTTTCAGTGCAATATGAAAGAAAATAATAAAAGTGATAAAAGAAAAGTATAGTGAACTTTTTATCTATAATTAAGCAAATAGCCATGGAGCATATATATTTTTTTTGTTCTTGTGCATATACCAACTTTTTTCAAGATACTAAAAAGGGAATAATAAGACATGTTAAAAGAAGAGTATAGCGGTGTTGACCATGATCTGACCTTCAAGGAATACAATAACTATTAGCTAAAGATATGATAGCTAAATTAAAATATAAAAAACTACTAACAAATGTATACTAAAAAGTATGATGTTTAAAGGATTTAGTATTGCGGATTTGTTCGAAAGAGGCAAGGCTATGAGATTTTTATAAGGGTTGACTAAACTATTTACAAAGAATATAACTAAACTAAACTAAACTAATAATTCTTAATACTAAGTAAAGAATTATAATACAAAAACAATATACCAAGATCATAAAGCAAGGTATAATTCAACAAGGGTTTCAGTATTCCATCTAGGAATAATACAGAATTTCACTAAGAAATTATAATGGTATAAATAATAATTCACAAGAGTATTATTTATAAGGCAAATCACAAAGTATTTTATTAACAAGAACTGAGAGTTAGCTATCAAACTGAGAACTGAACAAAGAGAAATTCAGCCCTTTATATATATAATTGAAGTTATAATAGATTACACTGTAGACTACACTAATGCATACACTATTAATTACACTGATGTATATACTATTAACTATACTATCTATTACATTATCGATTACGCTATTGAATACACTATTGATTACGCTATTTATTACACTATTAATTACAATCAGATCTACAGTTGTAATATCTAATAGTTGTACCAATTTTTAAATAATTTATGCTAATAATTTCTTATAATATATACTAATAAAAATATGAAATTAAACTGATAAGATATGATTATAAGCTAATATATGCTAATAAAATAATAATATAATAATTGAATATGATAAAAATATAATAATAAGATTTGATAACTAGAGTCAACAATACTTTTACAACTAAAACTTCATATATCAACCATGTAAAATAATATCTTCAAAGTATGACAGAATCATCAGAAGAATTAAGTTTAGAAGTAATGATGATTAATAGTTTGGATTATACATGTTCCCAAAATTGATTTTAGATTTTTGGGATATTTCGACTTTTTGAAATTTATGCAGAATCTATTCTATATATGGAAGTAAAAAAGTACCCAGTTATGTGTATATTCAATCAAGAAATAAATCTGAGTGATCAAAAAATTTCAGATTTTAAGTAAAATAATTTTGTCTTCTATGAAAAACTATTTCAACTTTTTTCCCTGAAATTGTAATTTCGGGACCTCAAAATAATTTTGCGTGCAAGTATAATTTGGATAGTTTGAAAAGTGAAAGATTAAATAATGAGGTATAAAAAGATAAATAAATAATGAATAAAATAATTTTAAACATAACTTATATTAACTTCAATGTTATAGGATAATTTCGAAAGTATTCGTAAAAGTGAAAATGAAGGTGAATATGAAGGTGAATATAAAAGTAAAGATAATTCATATAATGCTGAGGTTGAAGACATATCTTTAACTAACAATACTAGCTATTTCTGTGATCCCTTTTTTGAGAACATGGAATTATTTGAAGAAGTCAAAAATTACTTATTTAATAATAATATTTGTGAAATGGGACCTATTAAATTTCTTAATAAAGCATATAGCAACTTAATGGCTCTTATTACAACATATAATCTATCCAATAAAACTAGTAATGCTGTGATTCATTTTTTTATCACTTTTTGCAAAATTATGCAGTCATGTGAAATTTGGTAATATAATTGATAGGTATTCGAATACCAAATAAACAATATCACGTACATGATCTTCAAATTTAGGTCAATAAAATTTCATAAAAATTTATATCACGTTTCAGATCATCCAATAAATTTTTATCAAAATTAAGTTTCGCGCATT